CTCTGTCTGTCTGTCTCTCTCTGTCTCTGTCTGTCTGTCTCTCTCTCTGTCAGTCTCTCTGTCTGTCTGTCTCTCTCTCTGTCTGTCTGTCTGTCTCTCTGTCTCTCTCTCTGTCTGTCTGTCTGTCTGTCTCTCTCTCTGTCTCTCTGTCTGTCTCTCTCTCTATCTATCTATCTATCTATCTATCTATCTATCTATCTATCTATCTATCTATCTATCTATCTATCTATCTATCTATCTATCTATCTATCTATCTATCTATCTATCTATCTATCTATCTATCCTCTAATCAATAAATCTCGTTCACAAACTGATTCTCACTGAGGTCTTTTCCCTTTCCCTTTTCTATCACATTACAAATGCGTGAAAAAAATCTGGAGGACGACTAACTTTCAAGGACGGAACGCAAAAGAAAAAAAAATGCCGTGACAACGTGTATCGAAAGACTCAGTCATGGCGTCCCTCCGTTCGAACGTGTTCGCTTCTTTTTCATTTCATTTTCTAGGTGATTGCGTATGTTCATCATCTCTACAGCGCTACCGGGCCCTATTCGCATCGCATTTTCATTCGTCTGTCATACTTCGGTTCTACGTGGACTCCTCAACCACGACGTGATCGCAGGGACGTGTGTGTACACCTCACACTGGCCGTTGTTACTTTCCTATGCGACTGCTGCAAGTTTAGCAACGAACTATGCCCACTACGCCACAATCCACAATTTCGCGAAGTAGCAAAGCATACCCACCACACGTCTAACGGGCAACACGCACACCTATGCATCTGCACACTTTGTTGATGGTGTGGATTGCGACGATAATGATAATAATTATTTATAGCTGGGCAGCTTTAAATAACCACCCGTTCGTTGCGCAACTCAATCGCACGTGTGTTTTGAAATAGGAAGAGGGACCTGCGAATGATACATTTAGGGGCGAAGCTCCTTATGGCGTGGCTTGTGCGTTCCTCGTAGTACGTAACCACCAGTGGCACATACCCGAAATAGCGGAGGAGGAGGAGGAGGAAGGGAAGAAATGAAAGGCAGGGGGGTCAACCAGATGCACGTCCGGTTTGCTACCCTGCACTGGGGGAAGGGGTGAGGGGATTAAAGGAGAAGAGAGAGAGAAGTGAAGGGCAACGTGTGTGTAGATGTGACCTTGTCCGTTGCACGGTCACATCTACACACACGTTGCCCTTCACTTCTTGTCTGCTGGATGGGGGCACTTGTATATGATGAATACATGATGAAAAGATGCGAGATGGCTGTGCTTGGAGTTTTCTCTAGACATATGGACGGACGAACGGACACGCGCGGACGGACAGGCAGAGGGGCGCACGGACGGACGGACAGACAGAGGGATGGCCGCAAAACGAGATGGACAGACAAACAGACGAATGAACAAACGGACGGATGCACCAAGGATCACACAGATAGGCGGACGCAATAACGAATGGACAGACAGACTGACGAACGCTGCGCCCCACCAATCATCCTTCACTCCGTGAATATGCTGTGATTTTTTTTAAGGCATTACAGGAAGTCTGATTTGCACGTTTTAAGATGACGAGGAAGCCCGACTAAGCGTTTGTGGCGGAGGAAAAGAGGGAAGTCAGACTGGGTAAAACAAAGCAGCGCGAGTATATTCATTGGGCATATACAGTTAACGAGCACCCACAGCTCAGTTGAAGGCGCGCTCCTTCCCTAAAATAATGGCGCCAAAAGCACAGTAAAAAGTACGAAACACTTGACTGACCACGTTGGTCAAACACAAATTGACAATTTAAAAACAATTAAAGAGGCTTCCATACGCTTCGCCAGGGGGTCGACACTGCAGAAATCAATGCCCGTGCTCTATATATGCTAATAGTCGTGTGAGAAACAGGTTCACCAAACTCAAGTCATTTTAAAATGCCATTAATCTCCTTTAAATATTGCCTCAGTATCGACGAGATGAAAATGAGCGCCCAAAACGCAAACATTTGAAAGTTCGTTCTTGCTAAGAACAAGTATAAACTGTAACAGCCTCTCAGACGATACAATAATGGACTCTCCTTTTGTTTCCTAGAGTAACGTAAACACAAATAACGGCGACACGGATGGAATGATTTTCTCGAAGTATGTAAACTTCTTGAGAATGCATATTTGCGGTAATGTTTGCATATTCTTAGCAATTCCGGATAACTTCCGTTTTTTTTTGTTCTCTTTGTACAACGAAATGTATCCTGTACGTATATATATACAACAGCCTATCGCTACTTGTGCTGTGTTGTCATCCGTGCGCGTCCGCCTACTACGCAGTGCAAATTGTTGAGATCTAGACAAATGATTGATTGATATGTGGGGTTTAACGTCCCAAAACCACCATATGGTTATGAGAGACGCCGTAGTGGGGGGCTCCGGAAATTTCGACCACCTGGGGTTCTTTAACGTGCACCCAAATCTGAGCACACGGGCCTACAACATTTCCGCCTCCATCGGAAATGCAGCTGCCGCAGCCGGGATTCGATCCCGCGACCTGCGGGTCAGCAGCCGAGTACCTTAGCCACTAGACCACCGCGGCGGGGCGAGATCTAGACAAACAAATGAATTCCACGATCCTTGGATCACCATTTTTTCTTTTCATCCCGAGAAAAATCTCCCACTGCGCCGATCGTCTTGAGGAATGAATCTCTGGTTGCGTAACTTGTTTGTCAAGCCGGCTCACCGCAAAAAGCCACCGCCGAGAAGAGTTTACAGCGTCGCGTCTCCAGCGGGGCAAACCTGGCAGCTGTCCCGTTTGGTTCGGCCGAAATGGGAGTCGAACCCAGTGCCGCCATGTGTTTACCGTCTTTTTTTTTTTGACCATCAGGAGAGAGGTATATCAATGTGCGAGAGGCGCTGGGTTCGATTCCCACGCAGTGCGGCGGCCGAAGGCAGATTCCCCAGAAACATGTGTACAGTCTAATCGAAATACAACGCGGATTTCAAGCTTCACGAGCAAAATTTTAAAAGAAATACAAATTTTCTACCTGTCCGCCCACTGATGAGACATGTATACAGTCGGGAAATCGCAGGCGGGTAAATCGATTAACTTCGCGCCGTCATTGTGAATCTTGTTGCCTGGAGCCTCGATCTTTTGCACCACTCATGACCAAAATCTATCAGGAGCGTACGGGTTATGCATGACGCTTATGAGAGACAGAAAACAACATCACACGCACGCACGCGCACACACACACACACACACACACACACACACACACACACACACACACACACACACACACGCCCCACTTATGATCAGCTGCACTCAGACTTGCAGCGCACTAAAACTGCGTCAGTAGTTCGCAATTAAAACATCCTTCATGCGCGACCAATGAGTCCCTCAATTCGACACGGCACGATGAGTTCACTCTTCACACCGATACTCACGTGCACACACACACACACTAGTCACGCAAGTTTTTTTTTCCTCCACAGGAAACTTTAGCGGCAGTGCCCATTTGCGCAAAAGAAAGTGCTCGTCCATTCTTTTGTCCGCCAGGGTTGTGCAAGCTCATTTTTTTTTTCCTAACAAGTGAGCACCGACCTGGCTGCCAAGACGATTTCTCTCTCTGTCTTTTATTATTTTTTTGTTGTTTTAACCCTCGATATTATGCGTTGAGCTTCACTTGCGTCTACTAAACCGCGAGATGTAGTGGGTGTCCTGCCTTATCGGCGACGATAATGATTGAGCATCGATAAATACGGCCTGCATGTTTACCCATTCTTTAAGCTGAACGTCGACATTATGCGTTTCAGTTCGTCTGCATCGATTGGGCCGCGAGATAAAGGGAATGTCGTACTTTATCGGTGACGTTTGATGACTATAACGTTGGGCATTATAATAAGGACGGCCTGCGTGCTGTCTATTCAAGCTGTTCGAGGCATTTCGCCTCGTGCGCTGACCAGTCATGCCAGCGACGCTAATTCGATTAGAGTCCTCTCTTCCAGAAACACGGCCAACGTAAAACATAAAAGCTGCATTCACAAGGGAACGTGCGAATATGCGTGACTATGAAACTATGGAGATACGGTTTGTCTGACTGACCATTTTTTTTTTCACACGCGTAAGCCTGGGATATCTCAACCTCCGTCCTTGCAGCGAATACCCGGTGCAGCTTCTGCTGTCCGATAACGCTGTGTGCTCCGACAAGATAATACTGATAATGAAATGCCGTGACGGATGAGTCGTGATGCATCATTCCTAAGCTGATAAACTATCGATGCTCTAATACGCACGCATGTGATGCCTTGTTGGGCTTGGGGTTATAACGACGATGGAACGATCACAGTCGTTGCTCAACATTCTCGTCTTCACCAATGATCATACAGAAGAATAGATGCCATGCCTGTATTGCCTTTTTATATTCATTGATGACTCGATTTACCCATTTGCGGCTTTGATAAACACACGCAGCCTCACAATTCGTTGTCACTAAATCACACAAGAGATCACTAAATGTGTCCCTGAAAGGATAGTTCGCTCATTTTGTTATATTAGTAGGGTTGACAAATGCTGTCTGTTATCGTTTTCACTCCCCCTCTTATCCATCCAGCAACTGTCTTTTCCACGCTCCAGATATTAGTGTTCCTGTTTGCACAACAAATAGCCTTATTATCGACATAAGAGACGATCAAACTAAGGGTCAGCAAGCGATATAAGAGGCTGTTCTTTTTTTCGACGCTAGTTTTTTCTGGTTAGCATAGAAGAAAGGGTGGCGGTGGGGGGGGGGGGGGTCTCTTATCTCTTTTGTGATCCCTGTACCAATGCTCTGTATAATTAAAGCGTCGAATTATGTCACAAGTGGGAACCCCCGAGAGCAATTTCGCTCGTGAACTGGATTTTTCCTGTTCGCATGGACTGTCGGAAGATGCTGTAAATTCTGAATCGCCCGTACCTCACACAACAGCCGCCATTTGCGCACTCAACACGTGTGACGGCAAAGACACAGAGAGAGAGAGCGGAAAAGAGAGAGAGAGAAGGAAAACAGCACCAGAGAAGGTAGCGGCATACGTTCGTGACGACTACAGTGTATTCTTTAGCCTCGGCAGGTTTTTCGAAGCTCGTTTCATCAAGTGCATCGATCGGGCTGCCGTGGTGGCGCAGTAGCGGGGAAACTTTGTGCACTCCATGATCGCGGCGCGCACTGGCGCGGCCGTCGCTCTAAAGCGGTGCGTCAACTACCCAGCGGTGACGCGCGCCAACTTCCCCCTAGGCTTCAGCGTCACACGCCGAGCCGCCTCCAACGCCGCAGCCACGAACAGCGACACAAAAAGAGCGAGGATACCGGCCCCGAAGAACGGACCAAAAAGAGAGCTGGCCCCGCTACGCTGGCACACCAAAACCCGAGCACCACCAGCAGCGGAAAGGAACATCCACCGCCCCGGCTACACGCCGCAGCAGCAGCAGAGCGCGCCATTTGTAAGTGGCGCCCTCTCTGGCTGGGGCCCGCAAGCAGCCATTGTGATTTCGCCGAAAGGCGGTAAGAGCATCATCGTCGCACATTGTCCGCGGCAGGGCTGCACACCAGCCCCCACCGGGTCAGATTTTTTTCGTTCTCGCTTCCAAAGCCTCTTCCTGTCGCGGGCCTGTCCCGTGCACGACGACAGCACGATGAGTCACGACGCCAGCGCGAAGCGATTCGATGTCAGCCTCAAGCTCAGGGTGCTCGCGTACTACGACCAAGTGCGGAACAAATACAAGGCGGCCAAAATGTTCGGCATCAGCGAGAGTTCGGTGAGGAAGTGGATCAAGGAGGAACACCGGCTGCGCGCCCTCTCGTCCCAGGGCGTCCGAAAGACCGCGAACCGCGCGGCCGAGACGCGGGCCCTGTTCGAGACTTGCCTGGAACGCTACGTGCAGGACTGTCAGCAACGCGGAGTCAAGGCCAGGTACCGCGATCTGCTCGCGCACGCGGCGCAGCTGAAGAAAGTGCACGGAGTGCGCGGCCTCAAGCTGTCAATCGACTGGGTGGCGGGTTTCGTGCGTCAACGCAAGCTCGTCGGCAAGTGCGAGAGGCTGCCCAAGCACACCGCGTCTCCCGCCAACCACAGTGCCGGTTCAACGCGCAAGAAGGGAGTGCCTCCGGCCGCGTCACATGGTTCGCGCAGCGCCAAAAGGTTGCCGCCGGCCAAGAACAACGCCGCCCGGTCCCTCGTAAAGCGTGCCATGAGTCAACTGTCATCCAAGGCTTCTCCGACCACGGCGAAGCGAAAGGCTCAGTCCAAGGCGCATGCCGCGGCGAAGTTCAAGTCGAAGCAGGTGTCGTCAAAGGCTTCTTCCACCAAAGGCAGCGGCGGTAAGACCACCAAGACTTTGCCGAAAAACAAACCGACGAAGAAGGCGACTAAGATGGGTAGCAAACTAAAAAAGACCGTTCTTACCAAAGTGAAGAAGGCTGCCAATAAGTCGAAAACGAAATTGGTTGCCACGGCGAAAAAGGGCCCGAACACCAAGTCAAAGCTGGCGCCTGTCAAAAAAACAAAGGCGCAGTCGGCCAAGAGTGCAGCCATTGTCGCAAAGTACAAAAAGTGTCTGATGAAAAAAGCGAGCCAGAAGCATAAGTTAGGAAAGCCGAAAAATATTGTCACGTTGAAAAACAAGGTTCAATCTGACCCAAAGAGTGTGAAGCACAAACAAAAAGTAATCCAGAAACCTGACAAGGTTATGGAGGCAAGCAAGGGCAAACCGTGCTCAAAGAATGCAAACAATACGGCTGCAGCAAAGAAAATTAAAAGAAATGAAGAAAAGAACATAAAGTCTGAGAAAAAAGTAATGATCATAAAGAAGGTAATGAGTAAAAGCTTGAAGAAAGCTAAAGAAACTTTTAATTGTGCCAAAGCCAAAAAGCCTGCAGATAAAGATAGCACACCTTCAAAACAGCCCCTGCAGAAGGTAAAGAAGCTGCCCGTAAAAAACATGAGACCAAGGAGGCAACCGATAAAGGTGTTTCGTACTCGGTATCGAATTAAAGAAATTCAGAGGAAGATTGAAGAAAACAGGTCTTCTGACTTCTTTGATTTCTTTTATGGCTTGGGCCTTATACCAATCAACAGAGATGGGGATGGTGCAAACTCCTTCTACATCCCTTTCATCCAGGGATCACAAAAGATGTATGATAGCACCAAGTACCTCTGCAACAAGGATACCCCACTGAGGCCAAGCACGTCTGACCTAAGTGATTGCCAGCCTTCGCCCCACACTCAGCTTCCCTCAAAGTACCCCATCTGGACTCCAGTAAGGACAAGCACAATCCACGACCCCTGCTCGTCTCAGAGTGGCAACCCCTGGCAGACAAGTCCACGAGGGCGTGAGGAGCACATAATCACTGACAGGTTCCCACAGTCCAAGTCTCCCGAGGATGTTGTCTTTGCGGAAAAGTTCCACAAGGCAAGTCTGAAATCGGAGGCTGCCCTCTCGCCTGGTGAATCGCCAATCACTCCAGAACAGTTGGCTGTGGTACGAAAGCTATTTCCTCCCATTGGCAGCTTGACGTTCCCAAGCCAGCGCAGAGCACCGGATAGCCAAGTGACATTCAACGAGCCTTTGAAGACATCAGAACGAAGTTTACGGCCTCGAACCTCTGAGCAGACACAGCGTGTGAGCCTCTGCTCTCGCAAGCGCCACTACCAGAAACGGAAAAGGACCTTCTCTGAGCCATCACGGTCTCCGGAAAGACGTCCCAACGGCCCCTCAGTGAGTGACATTGACTGGTTGAGTGCAGATGGGTTCCCCAGCTCTCCAAAGAAAAACTGCACAGGTGGCAGCAGCCCTGTCTACTCTTTTGGCGAGACGCGGCACTGTTTTCGCAAGGAACACTTTGAGGACAGTGCCTGCCCACCACACATGCTGGCCAGCGGGATATGTGGGAAAAGTCCGAAGACTGCGGTTTGCAGCCCGAGCCGTGAAAGACCTGCAGGTTCCATGTACGACTGTGCCAAACATGTCGCTAGGGCCATGCCAGCTAGCCCCAAAGCCACATCATCCAGCGAAGGCAAGGATCTGTTCTTTGGCCAGGCAAATAGACTGGCTACACTGAGAAAAAAACAGGACAGAAATGAACCTGTGATGCACATTGCAAAAGGTCACCCAGACTAGTAGTTGCTTGCACCAAAGAACGTTTCCTTTGCCATGCTGTAAGAGCCTCCACAGGCTTTGTTGTACAATGACTCATTACCTAGTAATAGTAAGCCTGCAGCTTGCTTAGTAAAACCACAAGTGTTGAGCAATAGCACCATGCACTGCATGGGAATCCTGAAAATATGCTGCAGTTCTGGCTTTCTGCCACTGCACACAAAATGTTTTGTCTTGAAAGCATATTCAGCCAGTAGTAGAATGCACATATTTTGCTTGCTCAATGCTTGCTTCAATCTTGCCCATGCCCCAAAGCACTTGTTGATACTGGTGATTCTGCATATCTTATCTAGGAGTGGAACTGTTTTTGATCAATGAACGAGCCACATTTATATATATTAAAATAAATGATGTGCAGAATGATGTTTTGAAACTATATGTAGCAGTGCCATTGTTGCTAGGAATGTCACGTGCATTCCAAGCTTTCCGCATCTGGCAGTGTGATGTAACTTTCCAGCCAGAGAACGTCACTAGCCAAAGTGAAAAGTGCATCATAGCTCTGAAACTTGAAAGAGAGGCAAGCTGTACAGGACTGTCGCATCCAACTGAAACAAGCTGCGTACCTAGCTAGCTTAGGTCTTCGCTCTGCAGCTGAATGAAATGTGAAAATTACATTAACCGAACATTTACAATGTGCCACAATGTCTTCCCTGTCCCCCCTTTCAGCCTTTCATCTTGCCATCGTCTTCTCTAGAGCTTTATAAGTGCAAACTAGGCATACTGATGTATTGCACAAGCAACAAAATGTTCTTAAGCACTATTTTTCCTCACTTTAGTGAAAGTTAAATGGAATGAACTGCAGCGAGCTTGCACTGGTTAACAGAGAGTGTGCGACTTCCACATTGTAAATAGCGATACAATTTTTGTGATCTCTTGCGGAAATCGTGAAACAGGGACGTATCTTCCATATTACGAGTTGTGCAGTGGTTTGATGTGGACTGAATGTGTGTGGGTGTGGTGTGCATGTATGTCTAGTGGACTCCAAACAAGCAAATGCTGTTCAACTTGTTTGACGACAACAGCTACTGTACATACAGCATGAATAGAAATATGAGGACACGACTATGCACGGCTTTGTGCTTGCCAGACACAGCTGCCAATAGTAATAAATTTTTGCGCCACTGGTAGCAATAAGCAGTTTGAGTTGCAAGCTGTTTTAAATGCTTGTGACGCACTTTAAAAGCTACCAAACTGTTATGAGTCGACTATTGACTTGTGCACAGATTATGTGAAAATCCCTTGTCAATTCCAGACTCGCATTTTCCTACGCAGTGCAATGTCATGGCTACTTGACTAGGTGTTCAAGTCTACCTCCAAAAATGCATTGCGACTCTTGAGACGATGTTGTGCTCACCACTGCGACACTGATTTAATGAGCACTCTCTGCAAAGCTCTTTCTGCGTGTTTTTCTCTTTCTTTTGCAAGAGTAGGAATGGTTTTGTACATAAATTGAGCCCTTGTTTTTCTCTTTGGGCCTTACTTAAATGTGCGTTTGTCGCTGATACCACAAGGTACAAAAGTGTGTTTTCTCTTGAGAAGTTTCCAACTATCAGTTTTATCCCAGTGGTTCCAACCTCTGGCCACACTTTTGCACAAATAAAGACGGTTCATTTTTGTAGCAGCGTACCTTGACCTCCCCGAGGTGGCATTGTTTGATCTAAACAATGTCTTGCGTATGCCAATGATAAGCTGACTGAATTTCAGGTATATGGATTGTTGGCACAATCACAGACATGTGCACAACACACTTGAATGTAGCACCATACATGTGCTACGCCATAACCATGTCACTGTTTTTTCCTGACATTACATCTTGCAGGTTTGTCGCCGAAAGTCAACAGAGGGAAAGATGAAGAAGTGATCAAAATTTTTTATGCACAACAGGCATAGAAGCAAATTACGATCCACTGTCTGCAAATGTGTCAAATTTGCAGGGCACGATTTCAAGGCACTAAGTGTTACATCCGAACACAGATGAAGGAATATTGTATTTTGAGGCGGTAATTAACATTAATTAGCATGCGACTGAATATTCAATCAGCCTGCAATCAGCTTCAATCCTTGGTTAAAAATCAAATTAGCTTAAACTGCATGCACATTTTGTTTATTTTTTGTGTCATTTGTTTCGACCAAAGAAGAAACACTCGACATATGCGTCCTGGAGCGTGGCACGTCGCAGGATCGTCTAATATGGTAATCTCCAGCAATGTTACCTCATGCAGCAATACACAGCATAACAAAGTTCAATGACTGCCAGTTGTCCGCCCAAGCTTGCACCAATGTGTACACTGCGTTTCAGGGCATCTGAAAGAACACACCTCCGAAAGTTGATGCGTACAATTGTGCAAACCGCTGCTGAAGGCGTATTATAAACCACAGCGTCACACAAATGCATTATTCAACTATGGTTTGATGTTCAGAGCCCCCCCGCTCGTCTGTTACATGAACGCAGGTTAGGCCCAGCCCGTGTTGTTTATTCGGACCCTGTACAGTCACATACTTTTTTTCTGCGCCTGTTTTTTTGGTCGATGCAAATGTTTCAATACGTAAAACAATGACGTTACACGTCGATTAACTCATTAAATAACCAACGTGTCATCCGCCACGCCATCCTTCTTTGGCTATTATCTGCTTGACAGCTTTACCTGGCTTGTGCAGCTGAGAAACTTGTGCAAAATGGCCATGTATATATTACACAGCTACATTCTCTCATTAAAGCGATTGTTTCGGGGATATACATGTGGCGATTGCAAGCTTTGCTATCTCCCCGCAGTGGTCAAGGAACCACAGGAGCCTATAACGGTCACAGAAATCATTTCAAATAAACTTGTTTTCATCGTGTCTTATACAGCACTGAGAGAAAGCTACAACAGGTGCGCTTAACATCATTCAATGACATTACATTAGCCCTGCGACAGGTGTATTACTCCAGCACATGATTTATCAAAGGACTTAACACCAACATATCCCCGTTAGCGGAGCCCACGCGTACCTTTCCGTGTAAAGACCACGTCAGCTCATCGATCACTATCTCCGGCTGCGAAGTATTGTGCATAATAATGATCGTATAGGAGTTTATGCCTTCTCAATACCACGCAAAGGTTATGAGGGACGCCATAGTGGATGGTACCGGAAATATCGACCACCCTGGGGTTCCCTGCACCTAAATTTGAGAACACGATCGAGCCTCAAGCACCGGGCTTCAATCATTCACCGAAAACGCGACCGGGACTCGATCTCGCGACCTTCGATCGGGTCACCAGTCGCACACCATAATTAAGCACTATAGACCACCACTGTGGTGGAGCTTAAACCTTAAGTTTCTTGGCTGTGTTACGGTGTATTCAGAGCTTCAGCAATTCACTTGCGTGTGTTTGTGCGTGCGTGTCTTCTGAACTGAGTCAGAAAAGAGGTGTGTGGACGCATATACACTCTCAAAGTAAAATGTGTCACGGTCAACGCAATGTCAAAACGACTGATTTTTCGTCCTGCTCGCAACATCATGCATGCGGGCCTGCGGGTGCCTTACGTATATACCGTCACCTTGACCAAGTTCTAAAGAGACGGCGCGTTTTACTACATTTCAATTAGGCCTGGGATTCGCGACAAACCAGAACAAAATGCCGCGCTGAAACGTTATTTGAACGACGTGCCGAAAACGACACGGAAATGCCGGCAGATCCTTCTGAACGATGTTGCTGACGCGTGTACATGCGAAATTCTAATACAAAATTATTCATGATTCGAGGCACCGCTGTAATCTCCAACTGTGTGCATGTTCAGTTCTGTTCGAGAGGGTCAGAACGACGTCGTCCCAGTGAAGACGTGTTGCATACTTTGCTGCAGTGCCTTATAGGAAGCAATAAGCACCGTATTTGCGCGATTGTAGCGCGAGGGGTGACTTTTCATTGCGCCCGAAAAAAAAATGTTATTACGATTTTCGATTGTAACGCGAGTGCCGACTATAGGTAGCAACAATCTAGAAAAACAAACAAAAACACGTGTTACATTCGAGTAAATACGGTAATAAAATTGGACACTACGGAAGATTAGAGTTCACGTGGTGAAATGTATACGATCGAAACACAGCATGCGAGCGCGCGATGTCAGTCCGTGGTAAGCCCAAAGCGAATTTAGCCCTAAATACCTGGACTTGTCACACACGAATGCTCACCCCCCCCCCCCCCCCCCCCAAAAAAAAAAAAACGCCTTATTTTACACGCGCCATGGGAACCGATGCCAGGCGAAGCGCGCGGATAAAAGGCGACTGTGGTGCAACATTTCTGAGCGAAACGTTACGAAATCACGCTAAAGAAGCGTACAGACGTTGTACACGCACATAAATGTTGACCAGCTGTATGTTTTGTATAAGCCAGTTGTTGACAGTCACGTAATGATGCCAATCGCGACACCAGAAGCTGTAATCTGATATGCAGCACTTGTCCTTGGGAGGATAGCCCTGGCTAGTGCTATATATACGCAGACCAACTTCACTGGACGGCGCTTAAAACCGACGTTAACCCGACGTGACGTCTGCATCATTCATAGGAGTACATAAGTAATGTTCGTGAAATTAGACAACCAGCACAGCACACAACGATTCACGTTTTACCACCATTGCGCCTTCATACAGGATCTTCAAAGCAGCCTCACGACTTGGCGTGGCTCTGGTGTTACGATACTTGGTCGCCACGCAGAATGCCTGGGTTCGGTTCCTGCTGGAACATTGATTTATTATTCTTTGCATCAGTCGGGTCGACGCTGCTGGCGTCAGTTTTTCTTGACGCCCTCGCATTTATGTTACCGATGCCTGTTCTCGCTCTTCCAGGGCAGATATGTTCCGGAGCCCTCCGCTACGGCGTCTCTGATACTCATATGGTGGTTTTGGGACGTTAAACTCCACATATCAATCAAATCAATCCAAGACAGATATGAACTGTTAACCACCTATGGCGCATACCCGCATACCACGACCGTATGCTGGTATGTGCCCTACAACGGAGTCAAACCACTGCTTGAAACTGCTTAGAACAAGAAGACAAAAAAAAAAACACTGAATGAATGCCGTGTAGTGGGACGAGTCTGAGTAGCGCAGGTAGAGAGGCAAATTAGCTGCACATTTTGTAAGGTAAGTGGCGCGAAGCTAGAAACACGAAAAAGAAAAGGGGGGGGGGCACGAAAGAGAGAAACGAGCGCCAATTTCTTAGACATAAATGTTTTTATTGAAATGCCGGAGATGATAGCCCGGCTACTCGCCTGACAGGCTACTCCAGGCGCTGTGTGATGATTGATATATTACATAGAAAAGAGGGAGAGAAATCTCGGTTTACTATGAGAGAAAAGCTGAGAGGTCGGGACCTAGATCAATTTTCTGACCAGCTATGGACTCAGCGTTTAGAAATGTGCAGAAAAGGGAACATAGAAGAAGCGTAGAATCGAGCCAGGCGTAAAAAATATGCGAATAGCGCAACGAACGATATCTTAAAGGCCCACCCCTCACAAATCACTCAGACATATTTGGTCATAATCGACAGTATAGAACCGCCAACAAAGTGAAAGGGCTGCGTAGGAAGGAAGAAAAATGGGAGGAAAAAAAAAACGGCAGCGAGGTTAACCAGCCTATAGGCAGCCGGTTTTCTACCCTGCGCATGGGAGGGGGATTGGGGAGATGTATGATAGAGAGGAGAGAGAAATAAACACAGCACATTCGGCAGCACACGCGCGCACACTCATTCATCGTCCAATCTTGTCTTTCTTGGTGTGTGACATGGCTGTTACAGCCGCTTGTTCAAGTCCGTGTCGCGTAGGAATTTCAACAAAGCTTTTGTCGCCTTCCGTTGCAATGTCTTCTAAATGGCTGCGTAGGTTCGCGTGTTGCCCTAGGTGCGCGTAAACTGGGTCCCTCGCTGATTTGCAAAAAAAAAGTATAATTATGGCGTAGTGGGCATTTAGCGACTGCACTTGCAGTAAACTCTCTCTAGCTCAGTTTGAGACTGCCACTGTTACGCACATAGACTATCACTTCCTTGCAGCACGGTTGAGGCATCCGCTGAGAACCGAAGCTATAGGCCATAGCGTTTCAGATTACGATAGGATAAACGCTATCGTGTTCTTATACACTTGAAGGCGAAGCTCAAGCGTTCTTTAAGTTTATTTGCTTTTTTTTCTTTGTACAGACCTCCCCGAATAGGCGTTGATTAAGGGATCGATTTCCAGACCAAGACTTTTTTTTTTGTTGTTGTTGTTGCTGGGAACTTGGAAGGTTTACTTTCCGAGAAATCTGCATGGGTTTCCTTGTTTGTGCAAACTGGGCGAACTGTGCATTGAGTGAGATATACGGGATAAAACTGTCATTGTTGATATCCCAATTTCGCAGCCTGTTTAAAGCAAAGCAAATTCTAGCAGTTGACCACATGTCTAGAACATAAACTTGCAGTACGTTTGAGCTTCACCTTCAAGAAAAGAAGGTGGCAGCGTACTTTAGGATCATCAGCACCTGATTTCCTTGCAGAGTCGCGCTATCCAACTATGTGGCTGCTTTCCGATTCTGGTGAAAGTTGTACACGGTACAGAGAATCGTTACTTTCTGTATTTTTTTTTTGCGGTTTATGTCCTCTC